TTATTTAATCAGGCAATAGTTTGGTTATATTAATGATCAGATTTATATGTATATTTATAATTTAGCGATCACTCTTTAAAAAGAGTTTTCTTGGGTACTTGGGTGGCTCAGTCAGTTAAGCTCTGGTCATAATCTCAAGGTCCATGGGTTTGAGCTTCATATGGGGCTCTGTGCTGACAGCTCAGAGCCTGGAGCCTGGTTCAGATTCTGTGTCTCCCTCTCTCTCTTCCCTTCCCATGCTTGTGCTCTTTTAAAAATTAAATGTTAAAAATTAAAAAGCAAAAAAGAGTTTTCTTTTCAGGAGGCTATTCTAATGGTTGGCCATCAAATGAAGCCATAATATATACGTTGTTGTAAAAAATCAAGATATTTTGAATGCCACGGGCCTTAATTTTCTCTAGAATTTAGGACAAGCTTAAAAGTCTTTGGAAGTAAAACTAGAGTGATACTAGAGTCATAAAGACCTCTAAAAATGAAACATAAAATTTAGTTTCAAAAAGAAGTCAAGACAAAAAGATTCATCATGATAATAACATGATACTCAAAATATGAAGTTATGTTACCTAAGTAATTTTTCAGGAAAAAGAAAGTTACTTCAAAACTACAAATCAGAAAAGTAAAAGCAATCCAAATGGGCAGAAAACATTTTTTAAAACATGTATTTATTTACTTTAAAGAATGGGGGCCAGTGAGAGAGGGAGAGAGAGAATCCTGAGCAGGCTCCATGCAGTCAAGTGCAGAGCCTGGCCAGAGGCTCAGACCCACAAACCGTGAGATCATGACCTGGGTTGAAATCAAGAGTCAGATTTTTAACTGACTGTGACACCCCTGCATTCCCCCAAAATATTTTAATTGCCCTAAGTTGATTTTGTAGAACAGCTCTTTCCCCTCCTTCCCCAAAAAGGATTTTAAAAGGAGAATATATTAGAAATGCTTTGATTGATGTATTTATAATGGCCCGTTGATTTTCAGAAAAGACTATCTTTTTTCTCTTATCGAAATATCACAGCCAATGATACCATTTTTCAGTGTCCAAGAATTTCGTTCCTGCTTTCCATTTGAATTATAAGTGTAGGTAACCTGGCTGACTCACCAAACGATCCACAGTTCACTCAAGGTCTTGTTTCAATTTAATATTTGCCATGTTAAGAGAGGATTTCCCTTCTGAGGTCATTCTCCATGGGAGATTCAGTATTCTGTATGTGGACAATTCAGTTTTCCTGGAACGATGAAAGCGATAAAACTCATGGGCCCCAAAAAATCAAGTTTACAAATAAAAAGTTTGTGTACTAAACTAATTTGGTCTTTAGTTCCTAGTTAAATTTAGTCACTTCAAAATGTCCCTCTATGGTACATATTTTATCTTATCCTTGTAATTGCATGTAGCATCAAGGCATGGGGGTCATAGCTTCCTCGGGTAGGTAGTCGCATGTGCTGTGATATATATCACTTCACCTGCTCTTTAGTGTTTGTCACGTGACTAAGTCTGTCTGGGCTGTGATAAAATACCATATACCGGGTAGCTTAGAAACAACGGAAATTTGTTTCTCACAGCTCTGGGGACCAGAAGTCTGAGATCAGAGTGTCTTTGTGTATGATCAGGGCCCACTTCCAGATGGCAGACTTTTCTTTGTTTCCTTACACAGCAGAAGGAATCTCTGTCGTCTTTTATAAGGACACGAATCTCACTCACTATAAGCCCTACTTCCCAATACCAATGATACCAGTTGAGAAAATTGCCTCCACACAGACATTTCAGCTGTGTCCTTCATGGGACCTGGAACACTGGCATTAACTACATCAGGATGCTTTGGGTACATAATAGAATGAGTGGATTTCACGGTCAGAACCCTCTCCTTTGCTGTAAAGTGAATCTTCTCGTTGGGTGTGGTATGGTGAGTCAGGCATCCATAAGTCCTCGGATAGTGGGGCTGGTGGGCGCTTTACAGGATAAAAAGGCTCTTCTATTCAGAATAAATATCTATACTTGAGAATGTACTAATGGACTTTCCAGGATCGAGGAAGTTCATTGTAGTGAACTCCCCACCAGCGCATTCGCTGGACTATTATATCTGTAATTCTTTTTAAAAAAAAATCTAAATCTCAAGGAACTACAGTGATTTTACAAAGACAAGAGAAATGAAATAGATGAAATGTAACCCAGGAAATAAGATTAGTATTATCAGGTCACTGGCATAATGATACTAGTCTTTCCCAAACCTTAAAGGGTTTCTTTTTTGTTTTGTTTTTGTTTTTGTTTTCGTTTTTCCAGTATTATGCTTGTATTTAAAGATGTATTCTCTGTTGGCTGTGGGGAAAGTGGTGATCCAGTTTTTCCATGGACTCAAATGGTTGAGGAATTCAAATATTGTTTTGGCCTTTATTTTTCTCCAGTTCTGAACTGTTGTGTGTGGCTTGGCTTTAATTATTGTAGGATATCATTTTAAAACCTGGGCTCTTGTATAGCTTGTGAGCTCTTCTGCTTCCTCCTAGGTGTAGGCACGTCTTTTTCTTCAAAGCTCTACTCATGCAAGGCGATTGCGTCTAAGGGATCTTTCTGAGGATTTGAGAACCTCTCTAGTGATGTCTGTCTGCCACCAAGTGGCTATGGCCTTTTGCTTAATTCTTTTTAGAGACAATTATTTTCCTAACTCCATGGCTCCTTGTGGAGAGAGAAAGACAGAGACAGAGAGAGGTGTTTGTTTTCACATAAGAAGAGGAATACTTTGGGGCGCCTGGGTGGCTTAGTCGGTTAAGCGTCCGACTTTCGCTTGGGTCATGATCTCACGGTTCGTGGGTTCGAGCCCCGCGTCGGGCTCTGTGCTGATTGCCAGCTCAGAGCCTGGAGCCTGTTTCAGTCTGTGACTCCCTCTCTCTCTGACCCTCCCCTGCTCACGCTGTCGCTGTCTCTCTCTCTCTCTCTCCTAGAAATAAATTAAAAAAAAAAAAAAGAAGAAGAGGAGGAATACTTTTTCTTGCAATCCTACAGGGAGAAAAAATGCATTGCTACTCTTTGTAACAATGAACACCAATTGCATTCAACCTTTCCATCTAAAATAACCCCCCAAACTTTTCATTACTTTGGTTGTAAACCAAGATGGCTACTCACAATTTCTCCTAAAAATAAGCTACCCCTACTTTCTGTGCTTAGAGAAATATGATATAAAAAAACACTCGGGGGCGCCTGGGTGGCTTAGTCGGTTGAGCGTCTGACTTTCGCTTGGGTCATGATCTCGCGGTTTGTGGGTTCGAGCCCCGCGTCGGGCTCTGTGCTGGCTGCCGGCTCGGAGCCTGGGGCCTATTTCAGGGTCTGTGTCTCCCTCTCTCTCTGACCTTCCCCTGCTCATGCTGTCTCTCTCTCTCTCTCCTAAAAAAAAAAAAAAAAAAAAAAAAAAAAAAAACACTCGGAAATTATATTTTGTTCCTTTAACTTTTCACCTTCTCATTTTTCCTTTCACAGTCTAGATAAATAGAAGTGAGGTACAAATACATTTTTCTCTCTGGGCTATATGGCTTTTCTTGTAAGTTCTTATTTACACGCAGTCTTTACTAAAAGTTTATTTCCTGCAAATCTCGCCTTTTTTTTCCTTTGGCAATGAGTGGCTAATTATATAGTATAATTATTTCCTGAATAAAATATTTTTACACTTTAAATAGCTTTGACCTATTATATATAGCATGTGCACACACACACAGAAAGATGTTTTGGACCTTAAGTCAGAAATGCCTGAGAGGAAGCAGGAATGGATATTTAAAAGGACACACTGGGCGGGTACAGAGGATAGAGGCTTTTTAAATTCCAGAATTATCTACAGAGATGGATATGTGGGTATGGTAAGCAATTGGTGTACCTTGACTGATTCTTGATAGAAAATCTAGCCTTTTTTTTTTTTTTAATAATTTTCCAAGGGATGATACCTCCATAATCTTGGCCAACCCTCCTGTGATTGAACTATCTTGACAGCGTGTCCACCCCTTGTCACCAAATGGTCTCTCACTAACCTAATGCACCACAAGATACATTCGAATGAAAAGAACACTTAATGAAAAATGATGTAGAAGGCAAAAATAGTGAGGAAGAGCTGAATTTTTTAGAACATGAGTAAAAAAGAAAGGCAAATGAAAGATTTATAGCCACTCTTGTGAAACTGTATTTCATCTGTCTTATTACTCATTACTGATTCTTAAACAGTTTAGAAAATTTCAGTTCTTAAGAATAAGTTTCCGTTTGAAAAATACATGAAATACCTCAGAGCATAGCAAATTTCTGCAGGTACTTTGTTTTTTATTCCACCTGTTATAGCTCACTATTTCTAAGTGACAGTCAAAATCATTGAAACAAAGAAGAGTTAGAAGTCAGGCCCCAGCAAGAGGTTCATACAAGTTCAACAGTTGCAAAAACTGCCTGCAATTAGAGCCTAAAAGATCAGATGAATCACCCCGTTTCCTAACTCATTGGAAAGTACTGATTACAGAAATGGTCAGAAAAGTAACATATTACAGCTACTTATGCTTCTGTCTCATTCAAATATACTATAAATGATCAGGGAGCTTTAGCTGAGGGGTTAATCAAAGGAGAAAAGTTTATTTTTTTATTCCATTTAAATATGGAAATGTAATATGCTAACGTATGATAATAGATATGATATGTATCCCATGTTATATATAATTTTTAAAAACGTCTACCTTTTCGTGCAATTGTTCAAAAGTCTATAAACCAATAACCAAAATTTTATAGTGGAATACACCTCAATCCTCTCCACTTTTGTATTTTGCCATCACACATGAAATGTTGTACCTACTTCCTAGGACTATGATGTGAATTTAATAAAGGTTGATAACGGTGCTTGACAAATAGTAAATTATTTGGCAAGTAGGAGTTAGTGATATCTGAGACCATAGTCGTCTTTTGTTGGTTTGGTTTTGTTTATGGCTTCAACAGGAATTTATTTATTCACAGTTCTGAATCAGCTAGAAATCCAAGATCAGGATGTCAGTTGTTTTGTTTTCTTCTGAGTCCTCTCTCCTTGGCTTGCCAATGCCCATCTTGTCACTGTGTCCTCGTGTACATACGTATCCCTACTGTGTGCTCAAATTTCCTCTTCAAGGATGCCAGTCATTTTAATCACTTCTTTAAAGACTTTCCAATATAGACACATTCTGAGGTTCTGAGGTTTAAGGCTTCCTTCCACCTGTGGGTTGGGGGGGTGGGGGATACATATTTCATTCAATAACACAACCTCTGAATGAATACTTATATATTCATCACCCATTCTATCTGTACAATTCTATGCTCTTTTAGTATTCCTTATTTTGTATATAAAAAAAAAAAAGAACCACACAAACATAACAAAATTTACTACCTCAGCTCTTAATTGTATAGTAGTGTTAACTATTTGTATATAGTTGTGCAACAGATCTCTAGCACTTTCCCATCTTTCCAAAACAAAGCTCTATATTCCTATTTGTTTTTGACCAACCCCCCCTTCCTTCACCTTGGCTGCTGCATAGCTACAGTGATAGAGCTCAAGCAGTAAAAATGCCCCTACCCCTTCCCTTGTGAGAAGCCTTACTGTGAAGTTATGAACAGCATGTTACACAACAGGCTGAAGTCATCTCCATCCATGGTACAGCTGAGTGGATGCTTCCCCCAGTCAGGTAAGGGAGGCTGTAATGATCAGGTCCTCGAGGCTCATGGAGCAGACAACATCACTCTCTTTAGGACTGAGGTTATTTAATTTATGAAAGAACTTATTCACAAATATCTGTAGAGTAGTTACGATGGACCACTATCGGGTGCCATTTCATACGTATTGTGAAGTGAATACAAATGAGTCAGGATAGCAGTGGGATTGGAAATTAGATCTTGTGTGGTTAGTGCCATGGAACAGAGAAATTGCTGAGGGAATTTGGTTTAACCCATGCCCCAAGATGAGATGTGATATTAAATAGACCTAACAAAAGTTTCACATGTTGTTGTTGTTGTTTTTACATTTATTTATTTTGAGAGACAGAGCATGAGCACGGGAGGGGCAGAGAGAGAAGACAGAATCTGACACAGGCTTGAACTCATGAGCTGTCAGATCATGACGTTCAAGTCACCAGCTATCCAGGCACCCCAAAAGTTTTACACATTGTAGTGCTCAACAAAACTTTCACTGAAGCAAAAACCAATCAAACATGCATATTGACCAGTATAGCTAACACAGCAATTAAAGATGCATATATAATTTTTCACCATTTTTAAAAATCTCATGTTTTTGAATCTGTGGTAAGGCATGTAGGATGGAAAAAAAATAGGCTTATTCATTATCCTAACACCCCAAAAATATTTAAAATAATTTATATTTGAGAAACAATCTAGATTGATTACATTTCCCTATTTGGTCAAATTTTGTATCCCTATCATATCTGTGACATTATATTTGACCTCTTGAAATTTTCAATCTGGGGTGTGAAATTCTTTCTGCCACCTGGTTGTTAAGAGACCGTTTTCATAAGCACTGGAAATGTTACCACGTTTTAAAATTTCAATGCCTCAAGATCTCTCCGATGGCAACATTTCTATACCCTGTTGTTACTTGATTTAAAATCGTTTTCCTTCAGCCATATCGAACTGAAACCAACTACTCTTTAAAAGTAATGTCAGCAACCACAGCTGCTAAAAGTAGGCCTTGGGTAATACCTCTAGTTTCTTACAGGGAGAAAATTTGCCATATTCTTCTTAATGGAATGATCCCATATGTCTCTCAATCCAAAATAGCTCTTTATGGTTTTAAGGTCATGGTCCCATGCAGAGGTAAATGGTGGAATGTATATATATCAAGGTAATTATTAAATGGGCTTATGGGTCCCTTGATTGAGAAGTATCTTTTTCATGCAGAGGAAAAGTGTAGTGGATCAAAATGAGCTCAGTGTGACAGGCTGAAATTTTCCTTGATGCTTCTCTCCTATTTAATGCATTCCTTCCATTACCAAACAATGCCCTTAGCATGTAGCAGCAGAGAGAAAATCTGGAATAGCCTCTGTGAAGCCAGCTTCATGAAAATGAAGGACTAAAATTTCCATTGTTGTTGTAGGTTTGGGACATCATGGGGAGTTTGGCATAATTTCACAATTATTTGAATCATCGTGAGATATGAGAGAAAGAAAAAACCTATTCATACAGATATTCCCAAACATAGAAAGGAGTGTGATGGGCTCCCTGCGAGCAGATTTAACCACAGAATACTTAGAGGCAGTCTCTCCACCTCTGCTTATAATCTTTTTTGTTGTGAGATAATTCTGATGAGGATTATGGGTTCATTTTGTGGAAGGGGCTATGTACATGACAGTGTGGCCATTTCCAAGGTAACACAGGATGTAGAATCATAGCCACAATCCCGATTACATTATATTCACTCCTGACAGTAGGTAATATAATTGAGGGAAGCACAGAGGAGGAGGACTTTCTATGTGCCTATACGTTTTTATATAGAGAAGGGTTTTGATGTAACAAAAGATTTATGCAGTCTGACTTAGGGTGATATGTTCTTACAGATGAAAAGTGCTAAATGATATTCTCATTTTTCAAAAGAACACAAAAACAAAGAAGAAAGCTGTTTTATTGTATGGCTGCCCTTTAAAGTTTATGTCAATAACTTATTTTAGATAATTTTCTCTTGCAAATGATGTTTTAACAAAGCCTTGTGGAGTGTGGAAACCAAATGTAATTAGCTTATTTTTAAGCAAGTGAAAAACAGTAAGAGCAAACACCATCTGGTTCCACCATATTTGCGTATACTGTACCAAGGATTAGTGAGTGAGTCTCTCTCTCTCTCAGTGCTCCTTCTCATCTCTCCTTCACTTCCCAAAGACCTTGACCCAAATTATCAGGATGTCTCATCCTGACATATGCACCTAATTTCACTTTGCACGTTAACACATATGGTTTTGACCTTACACCAGTTCTGGTCCTTGAACTTAAAATTAACAGTCTCTGTACTGCGTTATTTAGCATAATAAAATCTTGGCATTGAAAAGGACCTTCCAGGGGCACCTGGGTGTCTCAGTCGGTTAAGCGTCTGGCTTCTGCTCAGATCATGATCTCACAGTTCGTGGGTTCGAGCCCCGTGTCGGGCTCTGTGCTGACAACTCAGAGCCTGGAGCCTATCTTTGGATTCTGTGTCTCCCTCTCTGTCTGTCCCTCCTCTGCTCACTCTGTCTCTCTGTCTCTCTCTCTCTCTCAAAAATAAATAAAAACATTTAAAAAAAAGAAAAGAAAAGGACCTTCCATTGCATCTAATCCAACAGCCAATTGATCAGTCTCACTCTGGTCTGGTAGTGACTCATTCTCTGTTCTCTGTTCTCCTAGTGCTCAGTTCTATCATAATTTGTTTAGGTATAAATATCCCTTATATGTGTAATGTAACTCTGATTGCCATTGCTATTCAGCAAATAATATTTCCTTCCTTCACATGGTTTCAAAATCAGTCTCAGAGCCTTCCTGTTAGGATTTTCATTTATCATAATGACAAATAATAGGAAAATCCTAGACTGGACGTCAATTCATATGAAAGTATTTAGGAATCTTAGTAAGCCAGCTAGTGTGTCTAGTCAGAGGTAGAGAGGTCAAGAAGGAGGACATTGTACAAGGTGAGATAATCCTCTTTGGTGCATAATTCATTCAGTCTTCATGGAGACAGATGGAAAATTTAGTTATGATCCAAAGAAGAAAAAAAATAAAGTGATATAAGTATTTGGGGGGGTTGGAGACAGGAAATTTTGAAGTCAGAAAAATACAGATACACTGTGAATTGAATGATATTACATATAACCAACTCTCCACTTTCATCAGGAGTAAGAAAAATAAATTATAACAAATGACATTTATTTTCCATTTAAAACTTGACTTGGGAAACATCAATTGTGGAATACTTTAACAAAGACCATTTCATGGTTTACTTCCCCAAAAATGAACATATATATGTACAAAAAAAAGTAATAAAAACTCTCACCTGCATCCATAAGTTCCTATGAAGTTGCTAAAATAGGTGATTTTAGCTGCTTTTCCTTTTTAGTGACCTTTATAAATAATATACCATGTACAACCAATGTTTCAGATGATTCCAGTCTGGTGCTTTGGGGCTAATTTGATTGTTAAAACATGTCTGTAATACTGGTTTCAAGTTAAATTGAAAGTCATTGGACCTTCTAGAACTTGTTTATTCTTAAAGTCTTTAACATTTCAGTGTTGTAGTAATTTATTAGAAATGATATTTTATTTATTTCTTCCTTAAAGAATAAATAGCAGCATGCCCTGACCTATAGCTATATTTAAGAGTTCATTGACTCTTTAATGTTTCCTGAGACTTTATTAATCTCTAATAAATTAAGCTCTTCTACTTCATTACATGCTGTGGAAAATTGTGTTTGAGTCTCAGTGATTATAGAAAACACAGCAAAATTGTCAAAATTATGGCCCCAGCATAATCCTTGAGCTTTTCTAGCTTCCAGACATCAGCCAACTACGCAATACATTTTATTTTTGAGTTGACTGTTATTTTTGAGAAATGTCATTTAAACACGTGGAAAATGAAAATAAATTTGGGCAAGACTCAAGCTTAAATCTCTTTCTCAGTAGCAAATATTATGATTTAAATAATATTTTAACATTAATTCAGTCTGCCAACAAAGACGAACATACAAATCACATCTAGGTATTATCATCTTCCACAATTATTACTAATCCAAAAGGAAAGTCTTCGATCAGTTTCCCCATGACAGACCGCACTCCTGCATTATAAAAGTTTAAGGGATATATGTTTTGGACCTATTAAGGTAGAAAAAAAATTCAGTTTATGGGAAATGATGGGTCAGCAGAGATTTAAATTGGTTTAGACCTGTACTTAAAGTTACTTAGGCTGACTGCAGCAGATGATGTAATCCTGAAATGCAGGGAATACACAGCTATCGACATGCTAATCAGGAGCTCCTTTGGCTTCAGGGATTGATAATGCTTTGTGAAAGCTATTGTTGGTAATAAAACTAAGAGAATTGTTGAGTTTTCCGTGCCTGGTGACACATAAGGGTCAATTTCTCAACAACAGCATGAGTTTATCTCAGTTTTTCTTAATGTCCTGACCCAAATAATAGGTTTAGAGATAAATACTTGAGAGATGGATTACAGGATGCCATGTCTTTATGGTATTTATATTTGTAACACAAATGGTGATTTTGTAAATTTACCAATTATGGTATCCGAAAGAGGTATCTCCCCTCACACACATACTACACACTAGGTATTACTTCAGGAAATCATGCAGTGCCCAATGGGGAGAATCAAGGCAGGCTGAATGAATTTCAACCAGTCTATTAAAGATATGATTTCTTAAACAGTATGAAATTGAGGGTTTTGTCAGTGAAACGAGGTTCACTTTTACTTTAGATGCTGGTGTATTGTTTGAAACTTCTTAACATTTTTACTTTTGCGAGAAGAAGGGAGGAAAGAAAAGAGAAAGGGAAGAAGAAAGACACTAAGGAAGACAGGCTACAAGAGATGTAGTAAAATAACAATCTATTTTTCAAATTAAAATGTTAAATGTAGAACATCTATGTTGTATTTATATTTATTTGTATAAAGTTGGTAAGTGAAAAGTACATAGTAAAGGAGTTTTTACATGCTTCTTTCTGCATGGTGTGAACGTAGAGGGGAGTGAAATGATATTATTGCCAGCAAGCATATAATATAACTAGCTAGTGAAAGAAAAATCAAATTCAATAGGAAAATGTTTGTCCTTACATACTTTAAAATACTTGATTTCTACCCACAACGGTCAGTATTGGTGAGTTAAAACTCGTAGTGCTTAGAGATCAATGTGGAAAATAATACTATGAAGGAATTTTTGACCTTCTACTATAAATAATGTTTCTTTTTGAAAAGGATATTTGTCATGTTTAAAAGCCTCATTATTTTAAGTTTAACGTATCTGTTGCATGTTGAAAACTACACACACACACACACACACACACACACACACACCATGGCCAAAGAAGACAGTGATCCTATTTTACTCATCAATCTGCTTCCCCCACACCAAAAAATAATAATCTATCTCAAAATGCTGTTCTACCCCACGGGGACTCCAGAATTCTGCAGAGAGCATGTGAAACTAGATAAACAAGGACATGGATGGGGAAAAAATGAATACAGAAAATGACAAATAACCTATTTTCCTCACCAAATGAGCAAACATAAAATGTTTTCAGTTTAGGCTCAAATTTCAAAAATTCTAAGTAGAACTCTACCAGAAAACATGCTATATATATGCAAATGTCCTCATTCCTATACTGAGATGAGGCCACTGACTTGTTATCAGCATGGTTTGTGCTTTGAATCCCTTCCCCAGGAGATTTTTTTTTTAACTTAACATATTCAATTTCACTTTGTAAGAAACAATAGCCATGTTGAAGAAAGCTGGATGATCATGAAAAGGAGTTAGAACAAAGTGAAATTTGATAGATCTACTCTGCACATGAGGCAGAGGCATATGAGGACATTGCCTTTTGAGTTTTAGACCACGCCCACTTAGGGGAACGTTACTTTACCAACCTAACATTATACCAAACTCTTTCTGTCTACTGCTGATTTGAATCTGTGAAGACCAGTTAACTTTATTTTTTTAAAAGTATTCCTCTGCATATAGTGAGAGTGGTCACTTACTATAGTGTGCTAGCTCTGAACTCTGCTACTGGCATGTGGTTTTGCAAATCATCTTCCCGGAAAGAAATGTTAAAAGGGAATCCACAGGGGAAGGACAATATTAGGCTCAAGACTTCATGATATTCCTGAGCCGCACAAAGAAATGTGCTTCTCCCCATTTCTTTTGTAAGACACAAATCAGCCTCCCTAAACTTGAATTTTTTTATTTGTAAAAATGGGGGAGGGGAAGTTTCCTATCTTTCTCTTTTAAGGTTTTCTAAGCATCAAATGAAGTGATCATGTGTAAAAGGGCTTTTTAACTAAGAGTCCCACACAAACGTGAATCTTAAGCTGCAGGCATTGTGGTCATTATTGGCTGAGATGATTGTGTTGTCTTAGGCCATCACATCTCATACCTCTCATGACCATACCTCTCATGACCATACCTGACCCAGACATAGTGAAAACAGTGAGTGATTCACAAGCCAAACCCAAATCATGAAAATATAATTTATTACTGTGTCAAAGGTATTGATAGACTTTGAAGTATCCCTAATGATGTAACCATTCCTATGGTTCTATAGAATCGTAAAATAATTCTAATTTATTTTGCATATTCTAAACTGAAATACAAAAATCCCATTGCTGAGATATCAGGTTTTTTTTTTTTTTTTTTTTTTAATTCCCAGAATCCACATGAACTGAGTTTAAGGAATATAAAGGCTAGCATCCACTAGAGCTTGGCAATGGGCCAGGCACTGTTCTAAATATTCTCTGCTTACCAACTCATTTAAGGCTCCTGACATCACTATTAGATACGTGATACTGTCATAACCATTTTATAAATGGAGACACTAAGGCATAAAGAGTTCAAGTAACATATCCAAATTCACACACTCTAGCTCCAGAGTCCATGATATTACCATTACCTGGTATTGCTTCTCTGAGATGTTGATAAAACATGTCAAATGCTACCAAAAAGCCAGGCAGGTAAGACTGAGAAAGAGGGCGGAGAACTTCAAAAGGCTCTAAGTGATAAAACATATTCAAAAGTGAGGAGTCCAAAGATCCACACAAATTAGGTGTTCAATAAATATCTAGTCTCTCTGAAATCTCTTCCCTCCCCTCTATTGTTGCCTTTGAAGAAGAAATTTTCCCTAGATTTATACCAAAATCTTACCTAGAATTATTGGGAACTGGATACGAAACCCATTGTCAGCCATTCTCAAGTTTTTCAGCATAAGCACCAGAAATGCTACCTCCAGCCTCCCATTTCTATACCTGAAATACTGAGATGAGATATCATCACTTGTTTATATCCTTTCAGTTGGTTTACTGACAATGCTGTCAAAAATACTGGAGTAGATGACTTTAAGGGAAAGCAAGAGTGAGACGGTGTAGCCTGCAGGTTAGGAAATATTTCAGAAGACTTTCTGTGTTGCAAGGGGAAAACATCATGTCATGAGCAAAGGGCCATATACAGGCCATACAAAGAATCAATATTAGAGGCTTCAAGATACAAGAAAAATAATAGTCCATTTGTGGACTAATATCCTTGAGATTGTAAGGAATGCTAAGGTGAAAAATGAATGTCAAGTTAACTCTTCTAGTGAAGAGAAAATTGGGCTCAGGCTGAAAACTCCCAATCTGGCCACCTGAAGGGTATTCTGAGGTAGAACAGAACTGATCAACAAATACACAAGAATACGTAAAGGAAAGAAAGGGGCACCAGGGTGGCTCAGTCAGTTAAGCGTCCTGGCTTCAGCGCAGGTCATGATCTGATGGTTCATGGGTTCGAGCCCTGCTTCAGGCTTTCTGCTGACAGCTAGCTCAGAGCCTGGAGCCTGCTTCAGATTCTGTATCTCCCACTGTCTCTGACCCTCCCCTGCTCACTCTGTCTCTCTCTGTCTCTCAAAAAAAAAAAAAAAAAAAAAAAAAAAACCACAAAGGAGAAGTAGAGAAAAAGAGGTCTAAGCCCCATGTCACTCACAGAGAGGAAGGGAGGTGAGCTAGTGGAACAGACTGTATGGACATTGTGTACGCAAATGCAATCAATGCCAGAAGTATACTCAATTGTTGCTTAAAGGCACGTCTTCATCTTCCAGAAATAAAAGTTCCCAAGTGGTGAATCTAACTTCAGGGCTTTGCTGTTTGTCTGTTGATACGTTCTTTCTTTGATTTGAGAGGATGCAGGGCTTGGAGACGTTCTGCTTACTCTCCTTTCTGTTGCCATCTGGGTGAATGCAAGTAGCAGGATTTGTGGTTAAGAACAAGGTAGCAAATGCTACTGTTTTCTGTGTTGAGCCCTCTGCTTTCTAAGCCTTGCGGAGTTGTTTTCGTCTCGTGCATCTGATAATCAGTAATGCAAATATTCTTTTATTTCAAGTGCTCCCTGCCAAATCCTCTTTCATTCGCTTCATCTTGCATCATCTTTCACCATATTTAACTGGAAGCCTTTTATGCAGAAGAGTGTGTAAACGTATTTTGTATTCCTTCAGCTGGAATAATGGGAAAATGTAACTGAAAGCAGATACTGTTTCGTACAAACATGGATTTGAATATTATCTGCCCTCACTCACTTCATGTTCTTGGGTGAACTAAGCCTCAGTTACCTTCTCTGCAAAACACTGATGTAATTACGAATCTCAGTCATGCTTGGGTTCCATGAGAGAATTATGACATGTGATGGTTTTAAGGTGTGTGTTCACACATGAATAAAAACATGCATGAAATATTGTGTGCATACACTGATGAAAATCCACGAACCATTATGTTCATTGTCACTAATATAGAGTACTTTCCGCACTCAAGGAAGTGCTCTCCATACATTAAAGTTGTTAATTTCCCTTTCATAGTAATTCTTATGATTGGTGGCAAGCCAATGAATTTCGGTAAGCTGATAAAAATGACTCCTAGATTATCCAAAGCTTCACCCCCAGCCTACTGGGATAGCCATAGAGTAAAAGAAGATTGCCAAGACTACATGAGACTCTGGTAAAGCCAGGAACGCTCAGCAGATACTGGTAGGTGGCACCCCACTTGGGGTTCAGTGTCAGCATTCCGGGTATACTCACCCTGGGCTTGTTCCTCCACCAAGACCCTCTCTGGAGGAGTAGATAGAAACATTGCTGCCTTTGACAAGAGTTTTGAGCACCTCTTGGGCAGCCTCGAAGGCCCTACCAGGAAAGTCACCATTGTGACGGTTTAGGCTTCCCAGTTGACTTCAGCCTCCTTAGACACCTCTGTCAGAATTTGGCTTGCCCTCCATGCCTCTTGTATAAGTCGTGTGGCCCAGAAGAGCACTGTGACAGGTCCTAGTCTCCATGCCAAAGGGGACTGTTGCCATGGCTGCTCCAACCACCAGCCCTCAGCTGTGACCCCCGCACAGGGCACCTTCTCACCCTGGTGACAGAGGAGACCGCTGACTGCTCCCTCCTTGGTACGCACTCCATTCTCACAGACTCACACATCAAGATTTAGAACTTGAGGGGACACACACAGTGGCCAACTTCCATGGCTGCTCCAAGGTGCAACACTACAGTTCTGTGTTCTGACACCAGCTGTTTCCTGGCTGTAGGAGCTTAACAGCTCCTCTGCCAACCTCTGGGGTCTCTGTGAGCTTAAGGACATTAAGACCATGTGGCTAGCTAACAACTTTAAGTCACTGAATTCTGACTACAGTGATACCTCATTGGCTCTTGGAAACGCAGATGTCCACCTATGCATCTGCAAACAGTAGACCGAGATTCCTCATCCTGAGGGCACAGGGGCCTGACCACAAATGTGCCCTTTGGGCACCATGCCAAGCTCATCACTTCAACAGGCATAAGCAGAAGATTCAAGTTCTAAAGTCTGGAGGCCCTGTCCCTTCTCACAGAAGCTGAGCCTCACCTCAGTAGTCGAGTAAAGTCAGGTGGGAAGGAGGCAGAGACTACTTGGTGGGAGTGGGGGAGTCTATGGAGAGAGACAGTCATATCATTTCACTGTGGTCTGAATGGGGGCTAGATGTCCCATCAGATATGAGAGGAGCACTGAGAAATACGGCAGCGTGGACCGCCCTAACAGGGTAACAGAAGTGGCTCCATAGGAACATATGCATGAGGAAGAACTGTCACCCTCTAAAGGCTCATGGTCAGGCCCAGAGCCTGTCCCCTAATGTCACTCATTGAGGGGGTGATGTTGGCCAGCACATAACCACTTTATTGCATTCCTGTAAGATGAGAGGTTGCAAATAAATCAAGGCTTAGACACAAATGGGGTGAGAAATTAAGATTCATGTGACTCCAAGACTGACTGCAGAGTTTGTGTTCCTAATGATTAAACCTTTTACACTTAACTTTTTTTTTTTTTTTTTTACAATTCTAAGCATGTATTCCTGATGGGCATTTTGAACTTGCGTGAGTGAACGTGCGTATGCTCGCTCTTGTCAGTTAGTCCTAATGCGATTCTGTGGGATGAAGTTAACATACACCCTAAAGTATCATTGCAAATCTGTGCTGTTCAATTTAATGTTAAACTGTGTTGTTTGCATTTATATTTTCTTCTTTGGGCACACGTGAATTCAACCCTGGGCCTTAGACTGTCATATGAGAAACTATAAAGAAAAATGTGGTGATGTGTCAAAATTACGAATATATGTAATTGGATCATTTTCCCACCACCACATTTCTATCTCCTAATCCCAGAAAAATTTCCAGGGAAATCCATCTTTAGTGGCTTCATATTCAACCTAGGGACACACTGTGAGAACCAAACTTCCCAATCGGACCCATTATCTGTGTGACAAATATTTCCTTTGCCCTATGTAAATTTCAGTGGGGACAATGCTCTCATGGTAATATGAAATGTAGTATTTCCACATGATAGTATGGGGTTGTTTTGCTCATTTTCATAAATGCTTAGCATTAAAGTGGGCAGTTTAATCAGAATAAATATGTCCAGGTGGTTCAAATGTATAGAGAAATCACTTTTTTAATCTTTTAACTGTATTATTTAAGTTTGCTTCTAAGATAGACTGAGCAAAACCTGGGGTAGAATAAATCTTAATCCCAATTGTCCCTGATAGCAGCCAGCCACCTGGGGCTCTGGTAGAGCTAAAATATAATCCATTTGTCAGCTCTCCATTGGCTGAAATCCTCAGGGAGTTTTATCTACAGCAATTTGCAAATGCTTCCTTTTCCTATTGACATTGAGGGAGATTTTTTATTACATTAGTGGTTACAGTAGATGTGAGAAGGGGTGTATTTTCTCACACCATTGGTGCTTGGCTGTGCACTCATGGTCATGTATTTCATATCCAGGTCTTACGTGGCTAAGGCTTTCACATTCCAATCGCTTTTCTGAATTGGAACCTTTTAATGTGCCTATGCCCATGATTCACTTTAATACTCCCAATTCCCATAGAATTGTCCATAACTGAGTGTACCAAAAGTGTTGTTTTATTATCTGTAAGATCAGATAGTAAATTTGCCAGACCTTACAGAGAGACCACTGGCTATGGCATAAGGTTCTGTAAATACCCAAACACTCCCCCAAGGACTTGAGACAGATTCCTTTCTACTACTCTCTTCTCCATGCTAATGAGCCCTCTCCTCCTCTCGAGAGTGTTACCTTCTTCGTGGCATATCGCTGATTTACATATGACAGTGTACTCCCAGTCCAGAATCCCACATGTAAAACCCAGGCAGGGCTTTTAGACACAGAACGGTCTGTGGAAGGCTCCATGATTGTTTGTACCAGCCGTGAGATTACCTACCCACATAGGCAGTGCCCTCCTCCTCAGCTGCCCTTGGGAATGTATGCTTGACAAGTGGATTTTGCTGGGTTGATTTCTCTCTTCCCATACATGTCTCTCTGACCTCACACAGACAGGGTCAGTATTTCTGACCTCACAATTTTCTAATGCCCTTCAGCAGTTCAGGAGTGTCAGCAACCCCCAGGAAGAAGCTGGCATTTGTTTTTCACTTGAGTTGTATGAGAACAGACCCCATGAGCTTCCTGCCAGTAGTTTTATTTGAGTCCTGTGTAAGACACCAGGCTGTGTATGTTCACTTTGCATATGCTACTAATATTATGTCAACAGTCCGTTCATAAGAACCTAGCTGGACTGCCTGAGCCCACCATCCTTTATAGAATTTAAAATTCTGTTAGCTCAGCCTCCATTCACATTCTGACGTCTTTTTGTACCTTGGGAATAGGAATCAACAAAATTCCTATAGAAGGGATGTGGTTGTCTTAAAGTCTGAACAGCCCACTGGTGTCTGAGATTGTTGCTTAGTGACAGAGTCGGTGAGGGAGAACTAAATTCTCACAATTTGAAGAATGTCCATGGTGGTTCTAGGAATTTCACAGGCTGAGATAGCCTTGGATTTAGGCTGTATTTATCAGAGAGCTTCTATTTGTCATGTGAGTGACTACAGCCCTCATTGCCTCTGGGCTCCCATCTCTGAGGAGTCCGTTATCATGACATCAGTGCGTTGCTCTAACAAACTACTGATGATTGTCAAATCCATGTCCTACAGTACTAGATCATGGCAACAGGGCAGCAAATTCAATATCCTTGTGGCATTACAATAAACATACACCATGAACCCAAGTCACCAGAATGCAAATAGTGTGGCTGCATTACAGAATTACTATTGAAAAGATGTTAGGGGCACCTGGATGGCTCCGTTGGCTAAGCATCCAATCTCAGAGTTCAGGTCATGATCTCAGGGTTGGTGAGTTCAGCCCTACGTCAGGCTCTGTGCTGATAGCTCAGAGCCTGGAGCCTGCTTCAGATTCTGTGTCTCCCTCTCTCTCTGCCCCTCCCCTGCTCATGCTTTTTCTTTCCCTCAAAAATAAACAACCATTAAAAAAAACAGAAAAGATGTTAAACAGGACTATAATGTCATTCAAGTCTTCCTTGGCCTGTTGCACTTCTTATACAGTGTTTACCATCTTAAGTACAGCTGAGGAATTGGAGGAAATACCTTGTTTAATTTTTGATAATCTATTATTAGGATACATGAACTGTATGCTTTATCAATTACTCAGACAAGGCTGTTAAAAAAAGCTTTTACAATGAACACTTCTAATTCATGCACGGCCATAAAGAGAAGAAATATCTTACAAATTTGTCTTATACCAGTTATGTGTTTCTAAAATATTCCTTAAAATTGACTACTTGGGCAATTGATTGGGCAATCTGAAAGGTTCCTATTCATGATGGGTAGTTAAAACTCGAGAAGAATGGGGTTAATTTTCCTTGTAAAAAAGGTAAGGCCAAAGTGCTCAGTTCACATATCTTTTGTAATCATGCTTTCAAGTAATTTCAGGAGTGCACAGAATTTTCTCTCTAGTCACACAGTCTACAGGTAACTTAGTCCTCATGTGAGTTCCTTCTACCACTACTACTTCTACTTTCACACTCTTCATATTTTATACTGTGTTTCAATTCTGGGAAATTCACTCACAGCACTATTAGAGTGGACATTGTGTCCAATATCTAGCATCCTGAAAAAGTTTGCCTATCAACCCAAATCTGCTTTACTCAGGTCTGACTTAACTCCCAAGATACCCTACCAGAAGTTGAGCAAGTGGATTTCAGTCCCTCAATCAGTCTTCCTCAGATCTTATGGCTTTAAAGGAAAGACACATGCAGGGTTGAGTCTACTCTTATTACTTTTTTTAGGTAAGATTTTATTTGTTAGAACAGTTTAAAGTTCAAAGCAAATGGATGGTAAAGTACAGAGAGTTTTTATACATCCTCTGTCCCAGAGCATGCATAGCCTTCTCCCCTGACAACATCACTCATCAGAGCGGTGCAGTTGTTACAATCAATAAATCTCCGTTGACTTAGCATAATCATTCAAAGTTCATAGTTTTCATTAGGGTTCCCTTTTGCTGTGTACATTCTATAGGTTTCAAGTATAGTAATATGTATCCACCAATATAGTATTCTTCATAGTAGTTTCACCGCCCTAAAAAGTCTCTGTGTTCCACCTGCTTATTCCCCCATCTTACTAGTCCCTGGCAATCTCTGATGATTTTCCTGTTTCTATAGTTTTGCATTTTTCCACAATGTCCTGCAGTGGGAATCACATACTACAAAACTTTCTCAGATTGACTTTTTTCATTTTTCTGTATCTTCTCATGGTTTGGTAGTTCATTTATTCTTAGTGCTAAATACTATTCCATTGTATGGAGGTACCAGTTTATCCATTCACCTACAGAAGGTTATTTTGGTTGCTTTCAAGCATGGGCCAGTATAAATAAAGCTGCTAGAAATATCCATGTGCAGGCTTCTAGTTAGACATGTTTTCAGCTCCTCTGGGTCAATACCAAAGAATTTGATTGCAGGATCATGCTATGAGTGTATGTCCAGTTTTGTAAAAAAAAAAAAAAAAAAAAAAAGTGTTCACTGTCTTGTAAAGTAGCTATATAGTTTTGCATGCCCACCAGCAATGATAAAGGAGAGATGTTGTTGCTACATATCCTCATAAACATTTCATCATGTTGTGGGTCATTCTAGTGGGTGTGGAGTTATATCTCATTATTTTAAAATCCATTTCCTAGGTAATAATTCATTTGAAATATCTTTTTTATGTTTTTTTGTTGTTTGTTTTGTTTTTAACCATCAGGATACCTTCTTTGGTGCGGCATCTTTTCAGATTCTGGACTATTTTTCATTCCAGTTGTTTTCTTGTTGAATTTTAAAAGTTCTTTATTCTTAGATATCCTTACTTTGGAGAACAGTCTTTGGATGTTTCTTTGAGCAATTTTTCTCCCAGTCTGTGGCTTTATTTCTCAATCCTTTCATGTTGCCTTTTTCATAGCAGAAGTTTTTAGTTTTAATGAAGTCCAGCTTATCAATTATTTATTTTATGGATTGTGCCTTTGGTGTTGTATCTAAAATGTTATCACTATACCCAAGGTCATTTAGCTTTTTAATCTGTGTTGGCTTCTAGGACTCTCTCTGCTCCTGCCCTGTTCATGCTGTCTCTATCAAAATAAATATGTAAACTTTAAAAAAAATTCATTAAAAATGTGTTTAATTTCCACATATTCAGAGACTTCTTCCTACATCTGTTACTAATTTTTACACATTGACTATGCTTTCTATTTTTTCAAATTTGCTAAGGTATGTTTTATGGTTCAGAATGTGGTCTGTCTTGATGGAAGTTCCATATTAGCTTGAGAAAAACGCATTCTGCTGTTGGGAAACATCTATTGATGTCCATTATATACAGTTGACTGACGGTGTTGTTGAGCTCAACTCTGTCCTTACTAATTTTCGGGCTGTTGGATCTGTCCATTTCTGATAGAGGGCTGTTGAATTCTCCAACTATGACAGTCATTTATTTCACTTTGAAATTTAGTTATTGACTCACATAGTTTGACACTGTGTTGTTAGACCTATACACATTAAAGATTATTGTGTCTTCTTGGAGAATTTATACATTTATCACTATAGATGTCCTTTTTAATTCCTAATAAGTTGCCTTGTGTTAAAGTCTGCTGATTCTGAAATTAATATAGCTATTCCTGCTTTCCTATGTGTAGTGTTAACATGGTATAATTTATTCTGTTTATTTGCTTTTAATCTATATGTATATTTATACTTAATGTGGGTTCCTTGTAAACAACATACGGTTGAGTTGTGACTTACGGTCTGTTTCAACAATCTGTCTTCTAATTGGTTCATTTAGACCATTGGCATTTAAACTGATTACTTGAAATATTTGTATTAATATCTACTATAGGGGCTCCTGGGTGGCTCAGTTGGTTAAGCGTCCAACTTTGGCTCAGATCATGATCTCCCAGTCTGTGGGCTTGAGCCCCTCGTCGGGGTCTGTGCTGACCACTGGAGCCTGCTTCTGATTCTAATCTCCCTCTCCCTCTCTCTGCCCCTCCCCTACTCACTCTGTCTCTTTTCTATTTGTTGTCCTTGTTCTTTTTTCTTTCATTTTTTTTTTTTTTTACATTTTTGCTTTGAATTGTGCATTTTATGATTCCATCCTCTTTCCTCTCTTAGTATACTGGTTATACTTTTTAACTATTTTTTAGTGGTTACCTTAGAATTTGTAATATCTCTTTACAATTAATCCATATACACTTTCAAATAAGACTATTTCACTCTATAGCTAGTGTGAGTACCTCATGATACAAAATAGTCCTAATTCCTCCCGCTCATCCCTTGTATCATTCTGCACATGCATGTGTGTGTAGAAAGAGGGAGAATACAATTTTATATTTATTTTCATCAGCTAAGAATAAAAATAAGTTTTGATTTTCCCTTCACTTCTTACTTCTGTGTTCCTCCTTTCTGCATATAGATCTGATTTTCTGTTCCATGTTATGTGGCTGCTCTAAAGAACTTTTTAACATTGCTTACAAGGAAGTTCTGCTGACAATAAATTCCCTCAATTATTGTTAGTCTCAGAAAATCTTCATAACTCTCATTTTGGAGGATATATTCACAGGCTACAGAATTTCAGGATTTTTTGTATTCTCATCATTTTAAATATTTTATTCCCTGTTCATCCTGTTTACGTGACTTCTGAGGAGAAATCGGACGTAATTCTTTGTTCCTCTTTGGCTTCTTTCCGGATTTTTCTTTTTTTTAATGTTATTGCATATATATTTTTTTTTATCATTTTGGTTTTCTTCTGAGCTTCCTGGACCTGATTTGGTGTGACATTAATTTGGGAAAAGTTGCAGTCTTTATTGTTTCAAATATTTTTTTGTTTTCCTTCTGGTGTTCCTAGTATATGTGTATTTGCCCCATGGCCCATGGATATTCTATTTTATTTGTGTTTTTTTGTCTCTG